TCATGTTAGCCAATTAAGTAACATCAGTTCAGAAGCAATAGCTAAAATTTAGTTATCTGATCTTGTAACAAACATTGCATAGAAATATCCTCACGAGGTCAAGCTATTCCAAAATATTTATCATCTATAATCTAATTGTTATAAAGAGCCACCTGAAAGTCTTTTAGTTGTTTTTTTTAATTCAAGCGACCAGCTGGAGAGCTGCAGATGGTATTCACAATATTACCTGCAATTAAGAAGCATCTTCACTGGCGTTTTTTACTTAGATGGCTGCTAAAAGTGAGCTGTATTACTATATAAGTAGTGTATCACTCAGGGTTTAACAGAGACAGAAGCCCTGCACCTGGAACAAAGTGATGCCATGCAACAGTGCAGGCTGAGGGTTGACCAGATATAATGCAACTGTGCAGAAAGCAACCTCATCTCCCAGCAGACAAACAGAACATGTAGTTACTAATGCTCATCTAAGTCAGAAATATAACTGAATATCAGGCTTCACCATCTGGAATACAGCAAAAGTCCAGGAAACTGATTAGTTCTTCCACTGTGACAAACTGCATCTGCAATGGTGCCATTTTGGGCTACCCAGTACAAAAGCCACATAGACTTAATGAAGCAAATCTAGTGGAGGACCATTGCAACATCCTGGAGCATACAGCAGACAAATGAAGGTGTGTTCTTCCAGACTGAAGTAAAGGTGTTTGCAGGTGTGTCTTACTTCTGCCTCTGCTATCTAGTATTACAAAGTATTAAATGAGATTCCTCCTAGACCAGCATAACAACAGGAAAGCAGATGACAGAGCTGCAGCAAGAAATACACCTAATGAATAGTAGAAGAGGCAATCAGCATAGGTAAATATCGAAGTAGGCTGTCCCTCAGACATTCACAGCTGGATGGATGTGAACAACCTGCTCTACTTGCCCCATGCTGGGAAGTTGGACCCAACTACCTCTTAGGTCCTGTGTGTGCTCAAAATCATTATACAAAGGTAGATATTGAGGCAACACATCTAAATAATAGTGGTATTTTTGGATGGAAAACCCCAAAGTGAGAATGTTATCCAAAGACAGACGAAGTCTATATCACCAGTTTCAAGCAGAACCTAGTTTCACTTAAAATACAATCAAAACTACTTCCAAAGAAAAAGCTGCATCCTTACTGTGCTTGAACATCTAAGCACTGCAAAATTTCAGACCCCAAAAGTATTGAAGGCATAGCTTCATGTATCCAAGATTACTTATTTCATACAGTCTTGCTGCCAACAAATCAAAAGCTGTGTTGCAAAAAGCAGCTGCTGCTTGAAGGTTCTAGGTATGGCTTTGGTCACAGATCAGATTTTTGACACAAAGCAAGCTTCAGGAGTCTCTACAGGAAGATATTAACAGGTATATTAAAATGTCCCAGTTTTGTACCCTTCATCCCACAACCTAACATTCTGATCAATATTTCATAATGTTAAGGTCCCTCAAGTGCTTCCAAAGCCCACAGAAGTTTAAGACTGTATTTCACACATCACTTCCAACTTTCTCTGGAAACAGATTAGTGTAATGGCACCAACAGCTTTCCTGGCCACAAATACAGGATTTCTTTCTTTTCTTGTTGGCTAAACAGCAAAAAATANCTTTTGCAACCCCAATAAAAGAAGCTTTATTTTTACACAAAACCTGACAGTACTGGTTAAACCTTACTCCTTTAACAACATGAATACTGAAGTAGTATTTTCCAATATGGTTGTATTTCTCTTCATTTCTAACTGGTAGATTTTAAAATTAAGAATCAAATTTCCAAGGAATTTTCAACATGCAGACAAGAGAGCATAAAGGCTTGTATAGGACACTGAACCTGTGCCATTCAAAGGATCATGCTAGAGGACAGCCAGCAGGACATGCAAGCCAGTTCATGAATCTCTCAAATGCAAGGAGGTGCACACACTGAGTTCAAGCTAAAATATTTTCTGGTTGGTTTGTTTGGTTTCTTATACTATGCTTACCATGATTCAAACCCCACGTAAAACCCATTTCAGAGCAGGAATTGGTGTGCAAACATGTTGAACACTAGAGAATGTAAGCAACCCAGAAACTGCCTATTTGTCCCTCAGTTCAGACCCCAGGTTTGGAAACATTCCCCAGGTGCAGTTCAAGTAAAGATTTCCTGCTTTCTAAACTTCTGAGTGATACACTACTTATATAGTAATACAGCTCACTTTTAGCAGCCATCTAAGTAAAAAACGCCAGTGAAGATGCTTCTTAATTGCAGGTAATATTGTGAATACCATCTGCAGCTCTCCAGCTGGTCGCTTGAATTAAAAAAAACAACTAAAAGACTTTCAGGTGGCTCTTTATAACAATTAGATTATAGATGATAAATATTTTGGAATAGCTTGACCTCGTGAGGATATTTCTATGCAATGTTTGTTACAAGATCAGATAACTAAATTTTAGCTATTGCTTCTGAACTGATGTTACTTAATTGGCTAACATGACATTTTTCATCAACTGATTCCTCCAGATGACTCAATTTAGAATAAGTTATAATGAATAGCCTGAATTAAGATAGCTACTTGTTATCCAGAATGATCAATGTGAATATTAAATGGATCTTGATATGTGGAACAAAAGTACACATGGAAAGCTACCAAGCCTCCAATAGCTACCTGTCACCATTTAAAGAATACAACCTACTCTATGTACATATGTAGTGCTGACCAAGGCACAAAGCCAAACAGCCAGGATTCAAGACAAAACAATTCTTAAAGAATGACAAATACTAATAGTCATTACTACCAGAAGAGTCAACTATTTTTTGTTTTGAGTTCACTGATGAAGTTTATCATTATGGTAAGAAACAGCTACTCTCGATGTACTATTTTCAAATTAAGGCTTCTTCCAGGAAGTGTATTAGCTAGTTTATGA